ATACATACATACATACATACATACATACATACATACATACATACATATATATATATATATATATATATATATATATATATACATACATATATATATATATATATATATATACATACATATATATATATATATATAATTTTTTTTATTTAAACAGCTACAACTCTGTCACTTATCAACGCAAGATGATTTTAAATTAAAACTCTGGCATGAAAAGTGATATGCATTAAAGGAATGCTTCATTGCTCTTTCATCAATCCAGACAATCTGGATTATGCTAATCCTGCAGTAAAATGTGGCCGAGTGAAACGTACCTTCCCAGAGTTCGTCAACATTATTGAGTTGGACGCTGCTCTCTCTCTGTTGGATCAGCACCGTTGAGACGGTTCCATTCGTGATGATAAAAACGTCACCGTTTTTCTTCAGCTTCCACTCTGGTCGGGCTCCCAGGTCCTGCTCTGTTGTACATTTGATGCTGGTGTTGTAATGGTAAAACACAGGCCCATTTGGTGCAGTTAAAGTGACAATTCCTGTGAAAATAGAGATAAAGTTATTATACACGACATGGAGGAAAATAATGAGTCATTGGTGTCAGATGAAAATACCTGTCGTCTCCAGTTCGATTGAGCCTTGCAGTCTTTGACTCAGACTTAACGAACTGTTTATCAGATCTTGAGAGCTGAGGTTGGAGACTACCGACATTGCAAAATCTACAATAATGCTTCCAACACTTGTCAAGAAGAAAAATGTTTTTGTCAGAAAATGAAAACAGGCGTCTGCAGAAACAGCTCAACGTGAATATTGTTGAAACACACCTACCTGTACTGATTTATTGTTAAAGTGTCAAATCCTCTTAAGGTAGAGTACACTTCCTTTATCTAAAATGAGAACAACTGAGTTAATTTTTCCTGATCTTGGAAACAATAAATAAACTGATTTGAGGATTATTTTATTTTACATTTTGTGTCATGTTTTGGTTACACGTCTTAAAGCTGTCTGATGCCGGGCTGGTGAGACATGTTTGAAAAGTCCCCCCCTGCAAGGTGATTTGTCCTGCAACGTGAACTGCAGAGAAATGTTGAGGTTTACGTTCATTTGTTGCTTTTTGAAGGTGAATTTTACAGAGCAGTGACAACATCATCACATTTCTTTGGTTTGGGGGGTTTTCCACACTTTTTTGTGTCAGCAAACAAATTTTAAAACAAACGTAACGTGAAAACAACAAACGGGACGTTGATGCCCCCCGTCTCAGAGGGATTTGAATAGTGAATGTTTGCAGTACAAATTAAATCAATTAATTTTATTATTCAGTTCACACTAATATGGAAAACTACACTTTACATTTTACAATCTCAAAGTGCTACAATATAAAACATTTAGAGAGAATAAAACATGGACTTGGTACAGTCATTATCAGAAAAGGGAATATTTTGGCCAGACAAGATTATTGTAGAGGTAGATGTTGAGTGAGTCTGATGCGGGTACAAACCAAAATAACTTCTGTTTTTCATGTGTTTAATTGGAGAAAGTTGGCATTCATCCAGGCTTTTACCTCCTCAAGACAGGTGGTGAGAGAGGAGAGTGATGAACCTGCAGAATCTATTTCGATATAGAGCTGCAAGTCATCTGCATAACAATGAAAAGAGTTCCTGTGGTGAGTGATAATGTGACTGAGGGGGGACGCAAAGGGTAAATAATGTGTGCCCAAGGACTGACCCCTGAGGGACACCACAGGTGAGTCTGGGATCTTGCTTCCCTGATGGAGACTTTTACTCAGATCTGTCAGAGAGGTAAGAGCAGAACCATTCCAAAGCTGTCTCCGTCAATCCTGCAGTGTGTTGTAGGCAGTGGAGAAGTATCTGCAGTATCAAAATCTGAGCTCAAGTCCAGGAGGATCAGAAGGGAGGGAGAACCAGTAACAGCTGCCATCAGAAGGTCATTTGTGACCCTGACCAGACCTGTTTCCATGCTGTGAGCTGAACACTCAACACCACCAGCCTGATGAAGAAAGCTCATCAGAGACTCTACTTCCTCAGGCGGCTGAGACGAGCTGGTCTGGAAGCTCAGTCCTCACCTCCTTCTACATGTGTGCAGTGGAGAGCATCCTGTGCTCCAGCATCAACATGGAGGCTGCACAGCTGCAGAAAGAAAAGCTTTGCAGAGAGTGATGAAGGCTGCACAGAAGAAGATGTTGGAGTCAGCCTCCCCACCATCACAGACATCTACACCTCCAGATGCAAGAAGAGAGCCACCTGCATCATGAAGGACCCCACTCACCCAGCACACACACTTTTTGCCCCGCTCCCCTCAGGAAGGAGGTTGAGGAGCATTAAGTGTAGAACCACTAGACTCAGGAACAGCTTCTACCCTGAGACTCATGAATCTCTAATGAGGATAATCACTGTGAAGAATCACATCATGTTGCTGCTGATCTGTTTTATGTTGCTGCTGATCTGTTTCATGTTGCTGCTGATCTGTTTCATGTTGCTGCTGATCTGTTTTATGTTGCTGCTGATCTGTTTCATGTTGCTGATCTGTTTCAAGTTGCTGCTGATCTGTTTCATGTTGCTGTGTTCATTCGTGCTCATCTGCTCACACAGCCTCATGTTCGTGCTGCTGTTCGGCGTATTGTTTTTATGCTATGAGTGCTTAGTGTATTTTTAGTTGATGTTTTTCTTAGTTCATATCTTAGATGTTATTAATGTTTTTCTTTTACATTTCACTGTTGGATGTAACTGGGACCCTGTGTGCATAATTTCATTCCACCACATGTACCACATGTGATGGAATGACAAATAAAGAAACTCTGACTCCGATATATAAATATAAATAAATAAATAAAAACTGGTGTGTGTGTGTGTGTGTGTGTGTGTCTGTATCTAGGCTTAAGAAAAGTCTACAAACATTCACTTTTCAAATCCCTCAGCGACAGGGACGTTGGGATGCTGCTCGTTAGTTTGAAATGTGGCAAAACAAAGCAAAAGAGAATAAAGCTTTAAAATAAGTAAATACATTTTCACAGCACTTTGTACGTTCAGCAGTAAACGACATTTACCCGTAGACTTTGAAACACATGTCAGATACGAGTTTCCTGCGAGGGAGCATGAAGCCTCGCCACAACACGACGGATTGGACTTGCAGACGCCATCGCTCCACCTGTGGCCTGACATGCAGTCACACTGCGTGGAGGCGCCCACAAGTGTGCAGCCTTACGCACAAAAACAGAAGAAAAACACTTTTATTCGGTTTGTTTCTCAGAAAATCTAAACGTGAAGAAATACGTGATTTTATAATTTACTTGTTGTCATTTTCAGGTCTTCAATATGCCATTGCATGTTCATAGAAAAGCCTGATAAATGCCTTCTGATAATATCAAAGACGCTTTGGTCGATTATCAGTGTGGCATAATGCATCTTTGTCGAGTTCACTGAAACATACAAATATAACGTTAAAATACATTTGGTAACGATGTGTTCAAATAAATGTGCTCATTTCAAAAACCGAACTACTTTACTCTGTCCTGCAGCCTGTAAATAAAAAGAAAAACAGTTTTGTTACATTTATGGTTGTCATTTTATATTTGGAGAATTTAGTTTTTTATGAGATCGTGACAAACCTGGCTGATGTTAATCCCCAACATGAAAATAAAGAACCACATCTTGCTCCTGTGAAATATATGAATGAACATTTTAGCTGAAAATAAAACCTGTTCTCCCTTCAAAAAAATCAACTTTAATCCTCAAGTTGTTTCTTCTACTTTCAGCTACTTCAAATTATTCTTTATTCCATTTTTATTTTATTTTTCTTCGCTCTCTCTTGCGCTCCTGTCCAGCAGCTTTTAACTAAATCATTCAGTGATAATCATTTGCACTACATTTATGCAGGAATCTCTAGATAAATGTGATTTTTAAAACATTTTTAGAGTCAAAGCGAACAGAGCTGCCTCTGTGACGTTCGTACAAATTTAAATATTTGTGAAAAAGTGCTTCAGTTTAAGCTTGTAACCAGCATGAAGAGCAAATTGCATGACAGCGGAGTGATATTTGTGTTTTACTTTGTCTAACGATGTATCTGTGCTATAAATGCTCAATAAGTGTCATCATAATTACTTATAAAGTCAGCTGAAATTGAATGACAAGGCGACATTTAAACATTTTGAGTTTATATCAGCTGTAAACCATTTTGATAGCTTCGTCATCTTCTGTAAAAAAAATTTAATCAAACGAGCAAAATGATTGTTTTTAATAAAAATGGTACTTTTGTCAGGTTTTATCCTTTGAACCCTTTAAAGTGCAGATTTTCTCTTCATTTTAGACCAATAAACCTGTTTGTTAATAGTTAGAGGTGTTACTGCATCTGAAGTCTTAAAATGTAAAATAAAATAAAAAACTAAACAAAAATGGCGTTCATAGCTGATTGAGTTGTTACAAGTTCAAGTATAAAAATATAACTAAAATTAAAATACATTAATAAATAGAATAACAAAAAACTATAAACAATTAAATAAATTTACAAAGGTTACGTTTTGTAAATGTATCCATCTCTCTGTATTTTGCATGAAGAATTAATAAAGATCAGCTGACCCGTGTTCGCCAGGAGCTCCTCTCGGGGCCAAACACAGCAGAACCGTGAGAGTCGGTTATGTGGCGACGAGGTGAAGCTGAGAGATGCAAAGTAAAACGGCACCGACCGACTGTAATTTGACTTCCAAAACAGCGTCTTCCTGCTGTTTGTATCATAAAATCTCTGCCGTCGTACAGGGTCCTACATTTAACTTCACTTCCATGTTTCATATAT